ATAACTTCTAACAAAAATAACGATAACTTTTCTATCGTATTTAAACGACACTAAACGTAATTGCGTTTTACGATGAACGACACATTTACGATAGATCCTAACAATTCTATGGAAAACGTCGAACTCGAGCAGAAGGAGAAAGTATACCGTTCTCAAAGTCGTCTAAAGTATCTGCTACCAGTTGGTGTATATGCTTTTTCATCGGTCAGTGCATTGAGACACGAAGAAGCCAATTGAGGTCTCTTAATCTGTATGTGTGTGTTAGACACTGGGCATCTCTTTACGAGCAGTTCACATTTACGGTTCTTGCGATTCCCTCTTTTCCTCCTCCCCCTCCCCCACCCCTTCATCTCCTCCTCCTCCTCCTCTTCCTCTCACCTATCTAACTTCTTTTATTCTCTATTTTCTATGGAAGTAGTCGTAAACGTATTTAATTCTAAGTAAAGCGTAATGGGTGCGAGTTTGAAAGAGCAAAGTGATCGTATAGGTATTTACTGACGGAACACGGTGACACATCGAGAGAGCCAAGCCGAGGCAAGCAAGCGGTTCGTAAAATTCGCGATTTCTCTTTGGCGAGTCCGTGGGAACGTGACTCGCTCGTTGGATTACTTTGATTTATGCAAGGAACGTAGAACGTAGAGTTAGCGCTCGTTCGCGTTCACTAGCTGTTTAGATTGCTACCGGCATATCCTGGCCAGCTCGATGACTCGGTTCCATCGATGACAGGAAGGACTCTTAACTTACATGATTATTATTATTATTATTTATCATCATCATCATCGTCATCCTTACTATTAGAGTTTCCACAGGGACATTATTAGGAGGCTTAATCGTATGATAGTTGGTGACCACATATCATATTACGATACGGTTATTAATACGTGTCATTTGTTTTTTGATCGAATTAATGTTTATCGTTATGACTCTATCGCGCGAAAAACAGTTGGGGTGGGAGGACAGGGGGGAAGTAAGTAAATTGATGATGTCCGTTGAAGTTTCTTTTCTTTCCTTTTCTTTTTTCTTTTAAGAATAATAACAGGATATTAATTTTCTCCCAAACGATCGAGTCTAATTATTATTGTCAGGATTTAGATTTGAGATTTTATATAATGTCACAAGGTGTAGATGAAATTTCTGAGTCAATGTTATATTAATTCAATTCGTTCTAATAGGACAATTGGATTCGATTTGTCAAAGTAAAATTTTCATTAAAAAAAAAACAAAACGAAAAATATGATGGAATTAAAATGATGTCGCGTAAAACATTGCCATTTGTAAAGTCACGTATCGAACGAGGTTCTTTATGATTCGAATAGAAAAACATTGTTCTCAATTTATCGAAGTAGAATTATGAGGAAAAAAAAAAAACGCGACCATAGTCAAAATATTGTCGCATAACAGTTGCCATTTATAAAGTCACGTATAAACCAGCTTCTGAATCGTTGTCACGAAGTCACGTGAACGGAAGTATACAACCGACTCTCCGTGCTGAGAGAACCTGAAGAAGAAGAAGAAGAAGAAGAAGAAGAAGAAGATGAAGAATAATAAGAAGAATAAGAAAGGTAGAAAGAGACACAAGAGATCGGTGTACTAGAAGAAGGAGAATGCATTTCGTGACGAATGACATAGTCGCTTTCTACAGAAAGTGGCCGGGTCATTTTGTTGAAAGAAAGAAAGAAAGAGAGAGAGAGAGAGAAAGACACACACATACATACAAACACAAAGATTGAAGAAATGTTACCAATCGTTAACGGTCATCGCACGAGCTTCTACACTTGGCCATTGTTATGTGCAGTGCTAAAAGAACAGAAAACTTGCTGGTTAGGCTCGTAAAGTGGTACCTGTGCATATGTAGGTAATAAATTATTTTATCGGCCGAGTTAGAACTTCTCTGTTATCTATCTCTCTTTCTCTCAATCACTTAATTTATTTCTTTAAGGATAAATTCAATATATCTAACAATAAACTAAAGAGTTTTCTTATAGGATTACGATCGATGAAAACGTCAAATCATTTTAATTCGATTATTTTTTTAAAAAGAACCGTGAATTATTTTTAATCTGTCATTGTGTTTCTTGTCGTCACGTTTTATTATTTTTCTTTATCATATATAATAGAAAATGCATTTGAGGTTTTCGTAAGATCGTTAAAGATCGTTGATAGTGGTGTTATGTACAATTGTATTGGGTAGCAGTAATAGTACGTTTTCGTTTGGATACTCTTCACTGAAATCAAATAGAAGAAGGAAGAAATGGAAGAGAAACTTGGAGATATATTCTATACTCGTTACGGTTCTGTCATTATTCTGCGAGGGGCCATTGAAAGGAAGGCGACCGAGAGGAGCAGCACATCCCGTCTTCTCGTTCGATTCAAACGTCGAGATACAACAGTCACTCCGTTATCCTCACTTCTCTTCTCTTCTCTTCTCTTCTCTTTTCTTCTCTTCCTCCTTTTCTTCCTTTGCTCTCATTTTCTCTATCCCTCTCTCTCTCTCTCTTTCTTTCTTTATTTCTTTCTTTTTCTAACTGTCCGTCTCTGTCTCTGTCTTTCTCCCTACTCTTCTCTCTTTCACTGGAATAGATTTAGCCCTGAATTATTCGCCATGGCGATTCCCCTTGTCTCTCCTTCTAGCGAAGGATTTTATCGCCTGGAGAAATCGACTCTGAGACTCGGCACTAAATTACCGGGTGGCAACGTATACGCGAACGTGATAGACGCTCCCAACACCTAACGCCAGTCACGCTGAATGCACCGCTTTACGCATACACACATATATATACATATACATACATATACGTACATAGACCTATCGTTAAAAAACTTTTAGTGACAAAATCGAGCCTCTATAAACTAACAGACATTTACTACCTTACCCATCTACTACGTTTTCCTTCTGCCAAAGCGTAACACTCGTATCTTTTTTTTTTTTTTATTTAACTTCCATTTCATTTCGAACGATCGTTAACTGCTGCTGATACATTGGTATTTATAGAATCGAGTCATTCTTATTGCTGGATAGGATGATAATAATTATTAGTTTAATAAATCAATAGTGTAGATATATTAAAGTGCTATTTAATTCTATATTAACTCGTTATCAATGGTATTTAAAGAATTCACATTTAGTCTAATAAATCAAAATAAATAATATTTAAATATAATTCAATTGTGTGTAAATTAATTGATTATTATTGAAATTTATAGAATTTTGAATCAGTCTAATTTGTGTGTTTAAATAATAATAATAATAGAATTAAATTAGATTGATGCAATTCATTTGAATATCTCGTATATATATAATATTTATAGTTTAATATTTTAAACAGTAATTTATTTGATTTGTTTTGTTTGTTCTTGTTGAACATGTAATTACCTATATTTAATTATTTTTCCGAATTAAATTTCATTTAATCGATCACTTTTCTATGAATACATTGTATATCTAATTATCATAATAATGATTGAACTCGAATAATAAATGATAAAACTTAAACGGACTGTTGTCGTTTAAATTAAAAGACATTTGAGCTTGTCTCGTACGATCACGAGAATATTGTAATGACAAGAAAAAACGACTCTTGGTAGGATCGTGCGGAACGCTTATGCGACTCAGTCAATTGTAAATGTCGATAATTTAAAAATAAGTGTGACACACACAGTACGCGGTTGAAATATTGTTAAGCATATATGCACGGTCACCCAGTACCTTAATTCTCGACTCTTGAACGTAGCTATCGAACCAAAGTTGAAGAGAGAAGGACGAACAAGAAGAGAAGGAGCATGGAGGAGTATGAGGTAGAAGGGGGGAAAAGGGGGAAGGAGGAGGACGAACATCCCTCGAGGCACCTCGCACGCCCCGCGGGTCAAGGCAATCCGGGCAAACGTGCGTGAATTGGCTTCGGATCTGCGTGAAGTGAATCCGCGTGGTGCATGTGCACGCTTGTGTCCTACCATTGGCGTAAACACTTTATGAATTTTCGATCGATATTTACCATTTTTTATTTTTTTCCCCCCCTAAGAATAATATATTAATTATTTCTTAAAGTTTCTTATATTAATTTATATATATTTATTGAATTATTTCATTATAATTATTGATATTACATTTCGCGTTGTTGTTTTTTTGTCAATCGATTGTCAATTTCTTACATTTGTGAATTAAAAATTAAAATATATTATTACTTTGAAACAATGTCAATATTATCGTTCATTTTACTAGTATCATAAATTAAAAAACGAAATGTCCAAAAGAATCAAGAAAAAGGTTCGACCATAAAAGAAAAGAAAAGAGAGAGAAAGAGAGAATATAAAGGTCAACTTTCAATAAAATTCCATTCAAAGTCGAAGGTTACGACAGTGTTAAGGACGCGTGGTATACTCGTATACGAACGTATATACGTATAAATAGTAAAACACAAACGTACACGTACATAAACTTACACATTAATATACAAATATACAAGTAGAGAAAAGGGAAAGAGAATGAGAAATAGAAAGAGAAAGAGATTGGTGAGTCTTAGGGAGAGACACGAAACCTCCTACACGCCTTACACAGTGCCGTATAGCAGTCACTTGACAGCTGTCACCTTCCACGCAGGGGCGACATGACACGCGTGCGCGCGCGCGCGCGTTCACGTTTATGTCCACTCGTTCCTTTCTCTCTCTCTCTCTCTCTCTTTCTCTCTGTTTCTCATTCTCATTCTCTTTATCTATCCCTATCTTTCTTTCTTTCTTCCTCTTAGGGTGATTCATTCGCCACAGGGGGGCACGAGGATCCGGCGACCTCCTGTCAAGGATTCCTTCGTCGCATACCGCCTTCTACTTCGTCGAGGTGACATCGCACCAAGACGAGATTTAATCGCACGACGTCGAGGAACGTGGCACACCAAGCCGATCGACCAACCAACCAACCAACCAACCAAACAACCAACGTGCTAGAACGTCCTGAAACTCAAGGCTTGAACTTCGAAACTGATTCCGTATCCTTTGGACATGTCCAACGTCGTTTAACATGACCGTTCAAATACCGTTGACGTTTGGACAATGACGCGTATGTATTCATAATGAGATTTTATTTTTTTTTTTATATATATATCTTATTGACCGCTTGTTATTTTCTTCTTGTTGATGTATTTTTTGTTAATCTTCTTATTTTTCTTATTCTTAATTTGTCAAAGTACGAGTAACCAACGGTAATCTTTGTTTTATAGATATATGTATTTAATTATTATAAATTTGAAATCATTTGTGTGTGTGTGAATTCTTATAATCGTTTCACAAATATTTACAATTAATTAATATAATCATCGATTAAGATTAATATCAATTATTTCGATGAATAATCTCGTGTCGATAATCGTGACAGTCAACAAAAAATTTCATCTATACGATTTATATCTTGTAATATATAAATAATTTTAATATATATGTATAATAAATCACAAGTAAGATTAATTTTCTATCGATACGTTGACATTCTCATAATTATCGTCATAATTTACGATTAATTATATTTCAACGTACAATACACATATATGGATAGAAAATATCTAAAAGGGATTTACTTTATTTACAGTTACTCGATCTCACGAGCTCGACAAGCGTGACTCGACGGGATGAGAGGAAGCATTAAAGTCGTTCGATTCAGTATCAAAAGGAATGAGAGAATGAGGCGAGAGATCTATGGTAGTACATAAGATGTAAGTACTTACATACTTACTTATTTACTTACTTACTTACTCGTATTGCTATAGTTGCTGCTGTATATCGAGAAGAAGAGAAAATGAAGGAAGTGCCTTAAAGGGTGGGGAATACGGTGTGGAGGAGTTTGAGATGGAGGTGGAGGTGTTGGTGGTGGTAGAATGGGACGGGAGGGAGGTCGGTGGGAGGGAGGGAGAGAGGAAGAAGAGTTTTCGCATAGCGAGCACGTTGCGGCGCCGTTCGTCTCGGTGCTCTTCGTTAGCTAATGGAATTACTTTAACGCAATGACACAGCGATTACATAATTGTGGGGTTCTCCTCGTGCACGCGTGCATCTATATGTGTGTGTATGTGTGTATATATGTTCGGGCATTTACGTTCGAGCTCTTTGCTTGCGTTAAGCAACAAAATTCTCTTTCCTTTTCTGTCTTTTACACCCTCTCTTTCTTTCTTTCTTTTTCTTTCTGTTTAAGTACCATACTCCACGTAGAGTACCTACCTACCTACCTACCTACCTACCTACCTACCTACTACTCCCGTCGATTATTTTCTTCGAGAGACAAATGACGTAGCCGCCAAAGAGTAATGAGTGCCAACGAGACCGGCGAACGTGTCACGTCGAACGCTTCGAACGTTTCAAACGTGCGTGTTCGTTCCATTTCGCATCGAAAAACTTTTAGTCGATTTTATGTTTAAACGCAATTTAACTTTCTACAATATAACAATCCGTCTTCTTTCTTTCTATTCGTCTATTTCTCTTTCATCAATTTAGATCATTTTTCGCGATAAATGTCGATGGGAAAATAATTAACTTACGTTAATTATCTTGTTTACGAATGATTAATTTATATCAATTGACTCGTATTCAATATTTTTCATAATTTATTAATTAATATATAATATATATATTTTTTCTATCGTCGAGTATAATTTGTTTTATATAATAAAAGAGGATTCTAGAAAAATGATAAAAGAATAGATTATTTAGAAATATTTTCAAAATATAATTTCATGAAATATTATTCAAGTTAAAAATGATTCTCGGTATATTTCATTCGTTTATTTATTTTCTTTTTAATGAATCTTAGTTAACACACAACGAATTATATCAGTTTACACTCGAAGCTATTATCGAATATATTATAATAAATAATGAACATATATTTCAATGTATATTATATATATATAGTTATACATTACTAACGAAGAGAAATCAAATACGAAAGATCATTTGTACCGTGAACGTATTATCAACACCTTACATATTACTTTCTCGTTACGATACTCGTGTACGAACACTTTCTTTGATTTTTCCCACGTGTAGGAAAGGAAGAAGCGGAAAAAAAAAACTCGATCGCAAGATTTAATGAGAATCGATATCTCCGATTAATGTTTTCGTCTTTCCTCGTTAGATCACCGAGTTAGAAACGTGATACCTCTCTGTTTCCCCGTTTCCGCAAAAGTCGAACGTTTGATGAACAAAAAAAGATATAGAAAAAAAATCAAACAGGAGTCTCGCTAAACGTGGATGGTTAGCGAGTTAGCTTATGGGAAGTCGGCATCGCCTTAATCAGACGCACTTGGGATGAGCGGTGCGCTAACGATCGATGAATTACGCAATTGTAGAATAATCATCGATCACGTCGTCGAACGTGATCGGTATGAAAGAAAGAGAGAGAGAGAGAGAGAGAGGCTATCATAGGTTTTAACGAAGTTTGGAAAACCGGTTTATGATGGCAGACACGGTGCTTATAACGCGACAGGGTCACGTAATCCTTAAACTTCTTTATCTTTCAAATTGGTTTTCTTTTATCTAGAATGTAATAAGGAATCCTAAGGGTGAGAACATTTCATAGGTTTATATTTTATATCCTTATTTATTAAGATACGTGGGTAGGTTGAAATGTTTTTGAGACTGTGTTTTGAACAAAATAAAAGTAGGGTTCGATCGACAACATTTTGTCTATCTTATGTTTAAGATTTTTCTATTTATTTAGATAAATGTTCGCATGCGAAAGATATTTGCCACCCGAATGCAAATTTTTATTGACCAACCCTTTTATATGGCATGGGTTGACGTGGCACTGAATATAAGAACACGTTTATTTTATTTCGTGTTAAATATTAATTAAAAATGATATTGATTCGAAAAATTGAAATTAATAAAATACTTTTTAAATATTCTTCACCGATTATTTTATACAAAAGAAAATTGAATAACTTTAATAATTACTCAATTAATATTGTATACACAAAAATATTGAAAATTGTCTCTAAAACGAATGATATCGAATTTGAAAATTCTAAACAATAAACTACTCGTTTACAATATCATTTTTACCATATCGATAATAACATAAATTAATTACATATGCAGACACAAATATACGATCGTTCGATAATGTATTAACATACAAAAGAAAAATTGATTGGTAGAAAGGTAAAAAAATGTATACAAATTGCTTGATATTTTATACGTTATTATGTTTGATTATCGTGTAGGAAGTATGAACTCATAAGAAAGTTTAAATTTGTAACTTGACAAAGTTGCCTGTCTGTCGCCTACGTTTAATAAGAAGGATCAAGAAGGACGAAAGGAAAGGCTCGTCGTCGTCGTCGTCGTCATTGTCGAGTTATTCGTATTTCTTTAGCTTTCGAAAAAAAAGAAAAAAAGAAAGAGAGAGAGAAGTAAAGAAGAAGAAGGGGTAAGAGGATAAAGGGGGAAAGAAGACGAGGACACACAACTCGGTCGATCGCACATTCGCACAAGGAGAGCGGCGTTAATCACGCCACGTGGTATACGCCATGGCGAGAGTTCCTTCGATATATCAATGTCGATTAAATCCCCTTGGATGCGGGGAAAACGCGATTTATATGGGTCAACGAGCCGCGACCAATGCGAAGAAACTCATCGGCTTTCTTCTTACACTCATCGAATCCTTCCCCGATGATACACTACTACGATTGTTCTACTTAAATCTTTCTTTTTATTTTCTTATTTTGTTTTATTTTTTATTTTAATTAAAGAATTTTTCTCCTTTTTTTTCTTTTCCTAATAGATATTTTGTCAAATTTATCGTAACGTGGTATTATTATTCGGTAGGAAAGAAATGATTTCGTGTTGGAATGATTTAATATAGTATAGAAATATAATTTGAATGTATTTTTTTAATTTTCTATGATGTTATATTAATGTTAGGTCTAACAATTCATGGGTATTTCTATATTTTTTTACTTTTAATTATTTTATTATAGTATAGTATAATTTTATATTTAAGATATAAATATATATAATGAGATAATTTGTAAATTATTTACACACATTTACAGAATTGAAATATACGTGGAAGGTGTTTTCCGTCCAAGTCAATTTGATTATAAAAAAATATATATAAGTTTAGATTGTATCGACATTTCAAATTGTTTAACCCAACCTCGTAGATAGAATGTGTTGTTCCATTCAAAAAGAAATAGCGAATAAAATTTGCTAATTATTAAATGCAATTTTTGACAAGGTTTTATCTCTGGCAAGGATAAAATTAAACATTTTTTTTTGTTTATTCGAACAATAAAATATTCGGAAGAAAAAGAAATTGAAACGGGCGCCCTCATTTCGAATAGGGACGAATACCATGGAGAAGAGTAGTCTTATCCATTCGTTTTTTCTTTCACCCTTTGAAGAAGAGAAGAAGGGTGGATATCCTTTTTTTTCCCTAGGGTGCCAGGAAACTTTACGTGCACGTTTTCATCATACGGCTCCTGGCGATTAAGTCGTCTCGTTATTAAAAATGCATGCAATTAGCTGTGTGGCCGCAATGAAATGAGCTCAGAACGATCTTATTCTTTCTTACTCTTCCTTTTTTTTTTCTGTACTAAAGAGAAAGGTTAACTCTAATAGGACGATCAAACCCTTAAACCCTTTTTTGCATTCTTTCTTTTTTTTTTTCTTTTCCCGTAAGCACGTTTGCTTAGTAAAACGAGTGACAAAGTTACGATCTAACGGGTGTCGTTAATATCAGCGTGGCATGAAATAAAAACAGGGGTTAAATGATGTAAAAGTCATAGACGACCACCTTAACGTGATTTTCATTTGAGTTACGATCGAGTAGGGTGTCCGCAATTGTTTTTTTTAAATCGATATAAGAACGGCTTTAGCATGCTCGATCTTTTCTGTCCCTTTCTATCTTTCTTTCTTTCTTTATTTCTTTCTTTCTTTTTCTCTTTCTTTCTTCTCCTCTTCAATCTTGATGTCTGCGCAACGTTCAACATTTTCGATGACTATCTTATGTTCGCTCTTCGTAAATTACAATTATCGTTAACTTCTCATCCGACAGGTGTAGTTCCTTATTCTTATCTTTCTCTCTCTTTCTCTCTCTCTCTCTCTCTCTCTCTCTTTCTTTTTTAGATACATATATATATACACATACATACATTTTTATATAAAGTAAAATTTACATCATTTTTTTCGTTTCGTACATTTTTAATGATATTTCACGTTTACGTTATGTATATTAAAATTATTTTTCATTCGTATAAACATACGTTTACATACTTATACTATTAATCAAAATAATATTATCACGTAGAAAAATAGCAAGACAAATAAATTGTCGATCGTTTTATTTTCTTTCGTAGTAAAAAATTTCTCTATATAAAATATAAACTGATTTTTAATTAAAAACAACTAGTCACTTGTTATAAAAAATAATGAAGCATGAATTATAGACGCGATCAATAGAATATATAATCGATGTATCGAAAAAATGAGTTTCGCGAGAATGAAGATGTTTTTTTGGTCTGATAATGCATTCGAATTGAATTAGAAATTTGTTTGAAACAAAAACGATTGATATTTCAATACAAATTTGATAGACAAATTTCAGACGACACTTATTCGATTATTTTGCAAAGTTGATCATTTAATTTGGATCAGTAGTATAACGCGTATAATATTTAAACTTTATTCGTAAATCGAGTTTGAGTTCGGAATCGAGATCGTTTGAGTACGAGGACGATAAGAATCTTATCTGTGCGTGTTTCTTTCGAAACTTCGTTCGAAATTAAACTACGCGACAAGATCGAAATG